GTGAGAGAAACGAGCGCCGCGCGCGCGCGCGCGCGCGCGCGCGCGAGAGAGCGCTCGGAGAGCGCGCGCGCGCCTCAGCGTCTAGCTCTAACAGGTGTAATGCCGATTCGGTTATATAACGCGCCTCTTCCTCCTCGCCAGTCTATTTCCATTGCGGAGATCGCGAAACTCTGCCGCCGCCGCCGCCGCCGCCGCCGTCGCCGCCGCCGCCGTCAGCTGATGCGTCTCCTTCGCGCTCGCTCGTGAAATCCAGCGCGATCGGCGCGCTCGGCGAAAGGCCGGAGGGAAACGGATTTTGCGAGACTCGGTGTCGATCGATGTATCGCCGGCCGGATGAGTCGCTCGCGAATCGCTCGTCCCACCGCTTGATGCTCCGCAGCGAGGGAAATATTACAGAAAACATGCCGACCGAATCGTCGCGATTCCCAGTCTCTCTCCCAGTGAGAAATACAACTGACGTTGCTGTGTGGCTTGCTCGACGAATGCTTCGCGTTCAGATTTGGTCTTTTCATCAGCCCGGGTATTTCGTCCTGCCTTGTTGTCAAAGTCGCATCGTCATGCGAATTTGAGCAACTTTGGCGCGAGATCGCGAACCGGTCATTATCGCGCGCGCTTGATAAGTTTTCACAAGTCGAGCCAGCCGCCGCCGACGCCGCGCATCGCTTTGGCGGCGCATCAACGGAGAAAGGGAAACGGGATAATTAAATGGGATCAAGGGGAGCGATTGAAGAGAGAGAGAGAGAGAGAGAGAGAAGCCGCGCAACTCTCTAGGCGACTCGCTCTTCTCGTCATCGCACAAACGCGCGCTCGCGCGCGCTATTTTGTCAGCGAGCGAGCCGGCGGCGTGCGGCACGCACGCACGCACGCACGCACGCACGCATGCGGCAGCGAGCAGCCGAGGGGGGCTAAAGATGATCGATGACGCAATGTGGACGCAAGCGTCGGAAAATATTTACGGTCACTTTTGCGCGCGGACATGATAGGTCGAAGGCAAAGAGAGCGATACGAGCGATCGATCCGCGCCGCTCGCTGGTCGCGAAGAACGCCCGACGTCCGGAAACTACGGGAAACAGTGCCTCCTTCGCGCGACCCTCCTCGTATGCAACGGCTTTTCCGCTTCTCCGCGCATTTGGCCGACGCCAGTTCTTCGGCAACCTGGCGGCCGCCAGGCACGTATCGCGTACTCGCGTCCGCGAAACGGTGAAACTACGGCCGCGACAATGAGGCAATTGTCTCTCGGGTTACGGTGGACCGACATTCCGCGCGATTGGCCGCGCGCAGGAGGGCGGCGGGGGGAGGGGGTGTAAATTAATGTGACCACGTAATTGGTCGCAAAAACGCCGGCGAGGCCCAACGCGCCGCGAGAGACAGGTAGATGGATTGCGGCGTAGCCACGTTGACAATGGGAAAATATGATCCCGCGCGCGGAGCCACGGAACAAATGACACAGTTATCGGTCCCCTGAAAAACTGTCCCCGTTTCCGCCCGAGAGGGGAGAGGGGAAGCTAGAGAGAGAGAGAGAGAGAGCGAGCGAGCGAGCGACAAACGATACTCTCCGGCGAACAATGAAGTTCCGCGAGCAAAGGCGGCGGGCGCGTCCGTCTTGGCGAATATTTGCTTCATCGCGAATCGCTAATGCGATATCTCACGGGGAGAAATGCATTGTTCGCGCGCGGCCGGGCAAACATAATGAGCGCGCAATCGTAGAAATGGCTTTCCACTCACTCCGCGGCGCGCCGAGGATTATCGTCGCCGTCCCGGCGGAAGCTCGCCTCGCGTAAGAGCTTGTCGCGAGAAACTTGAAATGTCGTTACGCGTTCGGCCGCGCGCCGAGAGTGAGCGTATTTGAACGCTCGTCGAACGCGCGTTTGACGAATAAGCGTGTTATGTTAATGCTCTTATCGCCGGCCGATATAGACGGCAAGTGAGAATTTTGAAAACAGCGTCTCTCTCATCCGGCCAGCCGCCGAGTCGTCGTCGCAGCTGTCGGGAAAGCTGGAAAAACCAGGAAGCGCGCGAACGAGCGCGAAAGAGAAATAAAGAGAGAAAAGAAGAGAGAAAGAGAGAGAGAGAGAGAGAGAGAGGGATGGAGATCGCGTCTCGCTGGCACGGCGGTGCGAAAACGAGAAGAAGTAATATCATACGCCGGCTATGTGGCGAGGCGGCTATAAACTCTCGCGTGAGAAGGCAGGAAAACTTCTTCTGTGCATAATAATTCAAGTTCAGCGGCGCACCATGGTCGCGGCAGTATGGACGGCGCTGTTGTGTAACCGTTTTGAAAGAAGAAGAAAAAAAGAGCCGAGGCGCGAGAGCCGCTCCTCGCGAGCGAGCGAGCGCGCGAGTCCAATGTGGTCATCAATGGCTCGGAATGACGAATCGGAAAGAAAAAGCGATCTCCAGTCAAGGTCGCGTATCGAAAGGTGCCTTTGCGTTCGCCATTTCGTATTCATCTTGCCATTATCTCTCTCTCCCTCTCTCTCTCTCTCTCTCTCTCTCTCTCTCTCTCTCTCTCTCTCTCTCTCTCTCTCTCTCTCTCTCAGACGAGAGAAATAATCACACGGCGCGCTCTTACACAGTCCGCGGCCTGCATAAAGTGTGCATCGCGGCGCGAATGCAACAACAAAAGTCACGACCGGGCCCCCGAAAGGTGAACCAGTCGAAATTCCGGGTTTCCACCACCTTTTTTTCTCATCACCTTTTCGTCACATCGCGCGCTCCTCGCCGGCTTCTTTCTGGATACATCGGCAAAAAAAGTCGCGGCTCGAGAAAGCTCGTTTGGTAAGCGACAGCTGACGCAAATATTCTTGTTTCGTTTTTTCTTTCTCCTTTTTTTCGTTGTTTCTCTTTAATATCCGTGCGTTGCACGAATTTTTTTTTTTCATTTTTTCCTCCCCCCTCCCTCCCTCCCTCCCCTCCCTTTTCGGTTACGTGTCCCGACGTTAATATTATTTTCGAGAGTGTGCAAATGAGAGAGAACAGCTGCAGATTTATGCGTATATTTTTTCGCCGGGACGTGGATTGCTGCCGACAGTCGTGGTAGCATCGCTCGATCACCTCGCGTCTCGTTATGTCGATCGTTTTTATCGTTCTCTCTCTCTCTCTCTCTCTCTCTCTCGATGTTGTTTCATGCGGCGCAAACAATGAAAGATCCCGTGAGAGAGTGATATCTCTTGAGGCACAAGAGGGATCTTCAGGAGGCGACCTTCTTCAACAAGTAAAAACTGATATCACAGCCGATAATACGCATTTACAGGCATTTGTCGTAGATCGCAAATGAGTTTCCTCGCCTTAATTAATAAGCGAGACTGTCCGCTGTTACGTGGCCGCCTCGGGCGAATGTACAATAAATTCGGCCGTGTCAACAGTTCGATTTCGAGCTAGAGCCGCGTAAGCGGGCGAAGCGACCTGCGAAGCGCTACGAAGATTTACGGTCAGAACGTTTAACGATAGTACAACCGCAAACATTTGACGAACGTTCTCTCTCTCTCTCTCTCTCTCTCTCTCTCTCTCTCTCCCTCGACTCGCGTCCTCCCCCGAATACATTCCGCTGTCACTCTCTCGCCTTGAATCCCGCAGCGGCTCCGCGAGCAGAGACGCTCGAGTCTCAACGTGCAATTACCACGTTACGCGGCCATGAAGGGGAATCAGCGGGAAAAGCCACTCCTCTGCGAGACCGAGCGAGAATTATCGGTGATTAATATCAATTTGCTCCGATACATTTAATGTAATTAAACGGACATCCGGAAAAATTTGACATACGTCAAACGCGACGTTTCCACGAACTGGCATCGCTGCACGGAGGAAATGTCGTAACGAAAATCACAACGACACTTTTGCGAGCTCGAGCCGTGCGAAAATAATGACCGCAATTACTGTATATTTATTTAAAATTTTAGTGCGCGTTTGATTTTGTTAGTACAGAAAATTGTTTTGCCTTCTTTTTTGTTGCTCGTTATTTCTACGCTGATTCACGCTGTAATATCGACGATATAGTCCAGTCTTACGAAAAAAACAAATTGTAAAGGGAGATATAATTTTAACGTAACTTTTATCGCGATATCTTCTCTGTTTGGCGCGTTTGGCGAGAGCGGCGACTTTTAATCAGTCGTTTCTCTGCGCAATCGACGCGTGCGAGCAACAATTTACATTTTTGAGCATCATACATTTATAGCAGCGCTATTTGGTAGATGCGACGAGATTTTTCATCGAGCTGTCTCGTCGCTCCGACGCGGATATATTCGATGCTGTCGGTGGTCTTTTCACGGGGGACGCGCTCGATTACCGAACGATCAACAGCAAGGCGAAAGCGATTTGCGAGATTAGCGCAATTAATTAATGAGATAGCGGGGCAATTTTGTAATCTGCGATATTATCCGTCAAACGCGCTGTAGCTCGCGTCTGATACGCGCAATCCGATAGCAATCAATCGATATCTGGCGGAGCGAATTGAACTGAACCGTCACGGTGAATCGCACGCATCCAATTCGCGCTACATAAACTAACGAACTTGAGTGATTTCTGTTAATTACGGCCAACCTGTCGGATTGGGGCGGCGACTCAATCAGCGCCGATCAAAGCTGGGCCGCCGCTGGTTCTCGCGAAAATATCGAATACCTCGCTAATAGACCGGAAAAAAATGCCGCAACACGCGGCGGCTATCGTTCTATCGAATTGCTCATCGGTAGCTATATTGAAAGGTCGATTATCGCTGTGCGATGTCATTAATGTGGATATTGCGAGATAACCGCAATCGAGATACCCGATGCGCCAAGTGCGCCGGTTGGATATTCGTAAACTCGTTATCGAATTCATTCGACTTCCGTCGTTATCGACTTCCGCGTGTTTGATCCTTTAGCGCCCCACTTTTTTATAAGTGTTTTAAGAATAAAATTTGTTTTTTGAGTTTTTTGAGAACTGAAATTATAAGTAGTGATAACAAAAAAAAAATATCAGAATTTTATATCTACGAAATACTATCTTTCCAAGCAGAAACTATTCCC